AGGTCTAGCCCTACTTGCCCTATACGCCTAATGGCGTGAAAAGTGACACTTCCGCGCTCCCCCCCCCCCCTCGTGTGTAGATCCAGATGGCGGAGGCTAACTGTGACTTTAGAATACTTTCGATCCATTGAAGGGTAGACTCACTGTAGTGATTTTCTGAAGCATGTTCAGTCTAAAACGATTACCGCACGCGTGGCCGCTTGCCCTGCTACACATGACGTTATCTCCGTGGTCATGCTTGATGCAGTTGTCTGTTATGTTTTCCCCCATCCTTTGTGCTGGGTATGCCCATGCTGATCTTGACCCGGGCTTCACTCACCCATCTGTGTAAATGACTACGGCTTCTGGGCGGGAATGCTGATCAGTCAGTGCTCTAATCTTGGCGTTACAGTAGCATATATCTGACTCTGGCAACCCCTAAGTCATGCATGATTGCTGGTATATCTTCCCATTCTTTTCCGTGACTGATCTCCTCAAGGTCACATACTTACTGGATTAGAATTTCTACCAACCAGGAGGGGCCTCTTTTGAGACTTGTCCCTTTTATATTAATGATAGTGCTGAGATTGTTGATGTCTGCTGATACCATATTGTACAGTCGTTTGATTATATTAGTATAAATATAAACATTTACGATGTGTAGGGGATTAATTATGCGTGCATATGTGTGCCCCCACGCCTGTGTGTGTGTGTTTATGTGTTGGTATGGTTTTGGTATGTTCTGAGGCCGCAGACACATTAGATATAACTAACAAACATACAATATATTGACTGGCACTCATAGAACGAAGTAGAGATATAGAAGAACACACTGGACAACATAAAATTCAAAGTATTAGTCACCGTGCCGGTAATCGAACCTGTCATCCGCAAATTAAGTGTGAGCCTAACTATAGAAAATCAAATAGGCATTCTAGGTGCCATTTCAATGGTTTGAGACGAATTCTGTATTCCATAGTTGTGGATTTCATGCTGTATGATAAACCTGACCAATACAGACACATTTGTTTACATGTGCCTGTTTGTCATGCATCCTAATACACTTGTTTCCACAGCGAGACACGGTAACCCTCGCTATCGATTTTTATGTTATCCAGTGTGTCCTTTCATCTTTCCATGTCTTTCATCTTTCTTTTTGTTCTTCGTTTCACCGGATGCAAGCTCTGTCGAAAAGTTCTGGTTGTTCGTCCATTTGGACGTTAGTATTGTGCCATTGATGCGTGTACATCCGTTTTACTGGCTTATGTGTGTGCAGCTGGTTGTTCCTTGCCACTCAGACAGATGTAGTCTGACTTTGAAGGAAGTTCCTAATTCGCTGACTCCTACGACATGCTTATTGGGGCGGCACTGAGTCTATTTCTGTTCTCCCATACAATGGGGTCCCGGAACCCACACGCGGACTACATATTTCTATGAGTGCTAATCAATCCATTGTCTGTTTATTTATTATATATAATGTTTCTGAATTACACAAAATAAAGCTCCCTCATGTGGATTCTAATTCTGACCACCCCCCCCCCCTCTTCTTTTCATTTCCACCCCCCCCCCCCTTTAACAAATAATAAATAAGAACTAACTATGGGTGTGCCAAAATCGAGTATGTTGAACCTAAGAATGTGGATATCGCCGCCTCGCCGTAAACCACAACACAACAAGCCAGGCTCCTCTTGTAGCGCGAAAGAAGAAGCAGCTGCAGAAACACATATTTATCAGATGGTGCTATTGTGAAAGCTGCTGTAATCTGGCGACTAGATGATTTCCCCAAGCCTGTTCAACTCATCGCAGTGGCTGCCTTATTTTGTAGGGATTTCTAAGCGAGTTCATCAGAATGTCCTATAGAATGCGGGTAGAAGGGTGTGGTAAGAATTAGTGTTAGTGTCAGTTCTTGTTAATTTAACATTAACCCTAAGACACTACACGGTCGGTGTTCGAAACCGGGCGGTTCCCGGGGTTCACCCAGCTTCTAGGAAATGGGTACCAGCGTTGACACTTAGGGGTGAATATTTTATAGACCAATCGGCACTCGGTGGGTAATGTGGTCAGCAATACACCGGCCGCCTCTACTTCCCCAGGATAGCCATCCTGGTACCCATTTGAGGCTGGGTCGACCTGCGACCTGCATCTAACCCTTACCCTAAATCTGACCCTAACACTAATCGACGAGTAAGTATACATGGAGACTGTCACTCCCTTTCAAGTTATTTTCCCCACCGACATCCCAAAATGGCCCCTTTCAGGACTGGCCCCAAATATCCCCAATTCGCATCCCACTGCCTGAGTTCTACTCCCGCACACCCCCCCCCCCCCTCCCCCCAAAAAACAGGTTCAAGCCGAACTTTACGGGTCGCTCAATGAATCACATAATATAGTACAGATCTAACATACAACATTTGCATATACAGTTATTATATTTCAAGCGAACTGAAGGTCTGAAGTTGAATAACTGATAAACATCATGGCACACGAGTAGTAACCCATAATTGCTCCGTTCTTCTTCAAACTCAAGTATGTTTTATGCCCGGGCAGCACCGTTAGGCTACTCTTTCAGATTTCCAACAGCCAGTGGAAATTTTTTACGTGCGCAACAATGCACACGGGCGTCTAATCTCACTACCTAGAGACTAGGGGAAATTACTAGAAGTCCAAGTCCACGTGAAAAATCCTAAAATTTACCGGGGATTGAACCTGGAACCTCTAACACTCGAGGAAGACACCATGCCTCGAGACCACGCAGCCCCTGAACTACAGAAGAAAACGAGGAAACTAACCTTAACTTTAGCCCGCCTATACAACAGGACGTTCCGGGGAACCCTCTAGGAATTCCCTACCCCGCCTCGCAGCCCCGCAGATTGTGTGGAAAATGTACATTTGTCCAGGAACGGAAATCTACACTTAAGTGCAAAAAACACATGTATTACAAAATCTACATTCATTTAAGTGCAAAAATACACATGTATTACAAATTCTACATTCATTTAAGTGGAAAAATACACATGTATTACAAATTCTACATTTATTTAAATGGAAAAATACACATGTACTACAAATTCTACATTCATTTGAGTGGAAAAATACACATGTATTACAAATTCTACATTCATTTAAGTGGAAAAATACACATGTATTACAAATTCTACATTCATTTAAGTGGAAAAATACACATATATTACAAATTCTACATTCATTTAAGTGGAAAAATACACATGTATTACACATTCTACATTCATTTGAGTTGAAAAATACACATGTATTACAAATTATACATTCATTTAAGTGGAAAAATACACATGTATTGTAAATTCTACATTTATTTAAGTGGAAAAATACACATGTATTGTAAATTCTACATTTATTTAAGTGGAAAAATACACATGTATTACAAATTCTACATTCATTTAAGTGGAAAAATACACATGTATTACAAATTCTACATTCATTTAAGTGGAAAAATACACACGTATTACAAATTCTACATTTATTTAAGTGGAAAAATACATTAGAACACCAAAAGGGTTGAGACCCACAGGTAAAGAACTGCTACTCTAGCCTGCTTTCACTGTTCAGCTGCCCTGTTTCTTGAAAAAGACAAAGACGTTTATAATAAAGATATTTGGTCAACTTTCTTTTGGTGAAGCCTCGTGTTAAAATGATAATTATTATTATTAAGTATTGTCCTTCTTAGGGCAGTTCACCATCATTGGGCTAGGTCTGGCACTCAGCTCTCTCCTGTGGCTCCCAGCAGGTGTCAGCATGCGACAGCTGCCCCACTCCCAGCCCTCACCCACAGTGCCACAGCTTTGACGAGCTGGCAAAACCAAGAGAGGGTAGCCGACTGGATTCTAAACTACTCGGTGATTGGGATATTCCTGTCCTGCATGCAAAGACTGGACTCAGCGTATTGTGCGGATGAAACCTCTGTTTGGTTCAACAGACAAAAAGGCGATTACTAGCAGGCTCTGTGGAGAGCTTCAAGCAAGGCAGGGCACTTAGGACGCCTTGGTCATCTACAGCATCTATGTCCATTTACATTCGTCTCGACATTGTCCCGCCATTGAATCAAGACTGACATAGGCGAGAGGGTGAGGTCGACACATTACGCAACTCTTTCTCAGTTAAATCCAAGTTCTTGGGCAAGTCACATTCATCCAGCTATCATCATCACTACTTTAGATGAAAGTGGTCTTTGTAATTCGTTATTGGACGAACAAAAACTTTATTTAGTGTAAATAAAAATAAAAAAAAAATAAAAATAAAAAAATTAGGCCAAAGAACCCTTGCCCAAAGCTTCAAGACTTTTGGTCATATAGTGCTAGACCTATATTTTATCGACCAATCGGTACTCGTTGAGTGGTGTGGTCAACATAATACCGGCCGCCTTTTCATCCCATGACTTCCCCCGGTACCTGCTAAAGATTGGGCCACCTGGGAGCGACTTAAGTTTAAAAAAAAAGAACCTAGTTCAGTTCGAACTCAAACCACCGACTTTCTGATCAGCAGACAAGGCGTCTAGCTGCTTTACCACAGCGGCTCCCATATGATAGATGTGCATGTGTTAATTCTTCAGGCTTGGACTCAATATTTATTTATCAAAATAATAAAGAAGAGCTTGACAAACAGACAAGACACACCTACCTTCCAGATTCCCAATCATGGAAAAGGGAAAATAAAAAACAAAACGCTACAATTGACAAAACAAATTATAAACCAAGTAATGCGAACTTTACACAAGCTTTTTGAAAGAGTGCAATTCAAGCAATAAATGACAGTGTTTATTTGCCATCGGTGTTGGCTTCTGTAAATCACAGAACGAATTCAAAGGCTAGCCAATGAGAAAAAAAGGGCTCATTTTATGGGCTGTAATTAGCTTTGCCATTAAAAGTGGGAGATAATAAGAATTAGAAGCTCTTAAAAATCGGACGTAATTTATTGGAAAAAATTCGATATTTTCCATTTACCTTTCAAAATCGTAGTATGACTGAGAATCTAATAGTTTACTGACTATGGCTTGTATGTGGTCAGTGAATCTGACTATTTTAGTCAGTGCGTCAGTTTGCTGTGTAGGGGTGCAAACGCTGTACCCGAATCAACTCTCTTTGAATGATGTTACCGAAAGAAAAAGTGGCACTATCTACAAACGTACAGCGGTACCAACAGACTTGTCTACTGAAAAGTATCTTAGTAATTCAAAAAGACACCAGAGTAAAGAAACCAGTAACGTCTACATTTCGACACACCAAAAGAAAGACGATAACTTCAATGTACGAAGTTTGAGCGGTATATCCAAGCGATCAAAATATATAGATTCTCCAGAACTGGAAGAAATTATCCTAGGTAAACGGCAAAACTGCGCCATTCCTGCAAATAAGAGACAAGATTTGATGGTTTTGTATCGGATGCTGAACGACTCATACTTCTTCGGCGCTAATCAAGAGCCTCAGACGGAGTACAGACGGCCTGCCGACCAACTGATCCACTGCGTAGAACTAGTGGAGCTACGAGCCTCGCAAGAGCTCAATTCTAGAACTATCTGTCCATGGCTGTTAGCAGAGATTGACATCGGTCCTGGGAACTATCCTCGGTGTGTATATGTCTGTCTGTCTGTCTGTCTGTCTGTCTGTCTGTCTGTCTGTCTGTCTGTCTGTCTGTCTGTCTGTCTCTGTCTGTCTGTCTGTCTGTCTGTCTGTCTGTCTGTCGGTCGGTCGGTCGGTCGGTCGGTCGGTCGGTCGGTCGGTCGGTCGGTCGGTCGGTCGGTCGGTCGGTCGGTCGGTCGGTCGGTCTGTCTGTCGGTCGGTCTGCCAGTCTGTCCTTCTGTCTGTCTGTCTGTCGTTTGGTCGGTCTGTCTGTTTGTTGCTACGCCTTTTAGTCTGTTGGTTTGTCATCCTGCCTGTTTGTCTATTGGTCTGCCCAGGCGAAGTCACGAAGCTTTGAGTGCAGTTAGGGGTCAGTGGCTGACAATAAGCAAGTCATGGATGGCTCAGGCAGAAGACACAATCAGACAGGCTTGAGTTCTTAAGAAAATTGGGCGAGGAGAGGAGTGGGTCAACGTGCTACCTGAACAGTCAGACTTGTGTAGGGGCATAATCAATCACACTGAGCCGGGAATACAGAGACTGGCCAGCAGGTGCCACGGACATGGAAATTCATCAGTTAGTTCAAGATAATACTCGCTCAGAGGATTTGATCATTTACACAGACGGTTCAGTGTCAAGAGGCAGAAGAAACGCCTAAACGGGGTTTCCGTTCTGTCACCGGGTGTTTCTTGCTCGTTATACGGTCCTGACGGGGTTGAACTCACTTACTGACTCCTGGTTAAAAAGGGGGGGGGGGGTATTGCACGTGGGGGTAATACTTGTTTATAGATGTATCAATGAAACGATGTGTTAAAGAAGGGAGATTAGAAGGTAGAAAGTCTGACCGGCCTGTGTGCCCGATTCGTAACTTTGAAAAAAAAAAGTGTGTTCGTTAGTTAGATCGTTCGTTCGAAGAAGTTAAAATTGGGGCAGCTGAAACGGAAGCACCAGACAGGTGTTAACCTGCAGTTCAGGGTGGTAAAGGTAAAATCGAGAGGATTGACTTTATTGCACCGGATTTTATCCCATATGACGCAGTCTCTCTGTGACGAATCGCTAGCTGCCTGACGAGCCCATCGCGAAGAGCACGCCCTCCGCAGCTCCGGCGACGATCTCTAGGAATATCCGTACAAATTGCACACGTTATTTGAACAGCGCCGCGGTGAAGTGAACCCACGACATGTAAAACGTAAAGCAAACGGCTCGACCACTTCTCTACAACCGCCCCCCCCCCTCCTTTTCTCCCACAGTGCGTGTGTAAAATATGTTTATGCTGTAACTGTATTTACGTGTAATACCCCAGTATTTATCTATTTACCAACTAATGGAAATGATGTCTGATATCTACTCTTCCCCCAGGTACTTCGAGGAAGCGACCTGTCTCTGCAGAAAGTGCATTTCAAGTAGTTGGTCATTCTGCAAATACGTTTTTCGAACAGTCAGTTATTTCAAATTCGAAGGCTGCGAGAGTGGATTTGCTCTTATGAAGATGAAACACTTGCAGATCCGCACACACTGTTACTGCGATAAGCCTGAACCAGGTCGTGATACGCCAGTACCAAATTATAATACTGAATAAACATAGATAAACTGTCGCAAAACGGGAATGCACCAGGAACATATTTTTTTTTAATGCACATTGAAATGTTGAGAAATGAGATGCCTGAATAAAGTCGCCAGCTTAACCGTAGGAGGCAATGTTAGAAATGTGATATTTTCAGAAAGACGGCAGGAACAACATCATGAATCAAACTTATTGAGAAACAGAAAAAAAAAAGACGGTTTGGTCATCTAGAAAGAATGCAGCCAGATTAACTAGCAACGCAGGTGCTTCACATGAAGGATCTGAACTAAAAGCAAGAGGTCGCCCTAGGAGAAAGGCACTTATGAAACTGAAAAGCTTCTACATTGACACGGAATGACAGTAACATAATGTCGCTTAACTGCCGAAGTGGAAATTGTTGTTGTTGATGACGATAATGCTAATGTTAGTGATTAGAATGTTATATAACAAACTAATTAGAAATATACAAAAATAATATAAAAAAAAGGAGCTGCAAGGAAAAACAAAGAATAATATTTACATCTATGGTTTTGAAAGTTCACCAAGCTGGCAAGTAGGCAAGCGACCAAATAGCTTTCTGTCGTGCCAACAAAAGATGTTCACATGCTTATGAAAGCATTGGGTAGGCTAATTATTGACACATGATAATCCATATCTGGGGCAAATAAAGACAGAATTAGAGGAACAACACCATCAACATTTTTTTTCTTCCTCTTCTTCTTCTTCTTTTTTTCTCCTCTTCCTTCTTCTTCTTCTTTCTTCTTCTTCTTCTTCTTCCTCTTCTTCTTCTCTTCTTCTTCTTCTTCTTCTTCTTTTACTTCTTCTTCTTCTTCTTTTACTTCTTCTTTTTCTTCTTCTTCTTCTTCTTCTTCTTCTTCTTCTTCTTCTTCTTCTTCTTCTTCTTCTTCTTCTTATTTTTCTACTTCTTTTTCTTTTTCTTCTTCTTTTCTATACTCCTGGAATGCCTCGCGTCGTCAGAACTGAAAAGGATCTCTAGGAACAGACCCTACTATTCGCTTTGTTTATAGTACTTTTCCGTGTCTCTAATATTTATGCGGTCCATTTTCTGCATGGTTGACCTCTGCATCTGTTACCGCTGTATCTGTATAAAATTGCTCTCTGTGGGGCCCTGTCTGATGACAATCTTATTACATGGCCAAACCATTTGATTTGTTATCTGCCTTTAGAGTTTAATATTGGTTTAGTGCTAACAATACTCTTGATATTATCGTTCCTAAATTGATCTTACCTCGTTACAGCCAGCTTAGTTATGAAACATTTCATTTATGTCGTGACTATTTCCTTCTGTCTTTTGAAGACGGTATCCACGTTTGACATTAATAGCATAGTGTTGGTAAAAATATTATGTTGAACAGTGTTCTTCTAGTGTTCACATTCACATTTTCAGAATTGGTGCTATTTGGACAACAAAAACAACAACAATTTCACATAAAACAACAAACAATACAACTGGTTAGATTTTCTACTATCGTTTTCTTCACTTCTTTTTTACGTTCTTGTTTTTGTCGCTTCGGGTATCGATGCAGATATAGGTTCCATTTCAAGGTTTTCTGGCTGTTGTAAACATAGACTTAACGTACTGTTGTAGAGTTTCTCTGATCTAGGAGTGTTGAGGGGAATCTGACCGACGATCAACACCCTGAGCAAAGTTTGGACGGACATACATACAGACAGTTAATGGTACTATAGGAGGTTGATCACTGCAGGGGCTGCTCAAGAGGGGGACAGGGCGCTTATGGTGATGTTTCGAGTGCTATGATGTTGATGCTAAATAAAACGTTCAGATGACTCTATTGTTATCTTTAAATTTCGTTTTTGGTTCACATCTTCAGCTACGTCTCTCTCTCTCTCTCTCTCTCTCTCTCTCTCTCTCTCTCTCTCTCTCTCTCTCTCTCTCTCTCTCTCTCTCTCTCTCTCTCTTTGTTTCTAGACGTTTTTGGTGTTTCGTCAGAATTTATTCTTTTTAAGTCAGAAGGCTACATGCACAGTCTTATTAAGTGAGGTACCAAAAAGTGTAAAAAAACACCGACGCCCTTCATGATCTGATCATCTAGGAGAATTGGCTCACAAACAGCATTCTGTCCCGACAGCTGGGGAATTGTGACCATGTTAAACCTGATGATGGCCTGGAAAGAACGCTGATGGAGGGTACAGTTTCTAGAAAAGGAGGCAGAAGCAGACTCCAGTAATGTGGCCACATGACATTTATGATGCACTGGCAATTAAAGCATATAGGGCTGGAGAACGCTGGAGAAAAATAGATTTTGAAGCGTGCCGTACCGAGACTTACAATCTGTAAAGACTGTAGATAATAAGCAGTTCAGTTTTGGCTCTGTGTCGATATTTGATCTTGTGACTTCGTTCCTAGTTTTATCTCTCCTTGACAATCCTGCAGTCTTTCTCAGACATCTTATTTCCAATGTTACTAATTTAATTTTACATACGGCTGTCAAACGTAGACATATACATTCAAACTCGAAAAGAAGATGCAAGTATTAGAAATGAGATCTTATTAAAAGACACTTTTCGAAAGACCCTCATACACAAGCGACATAATCGAATTTCGCCAGATAATCACTTAGAACACTGAAAAGTATGAATCTCTGTTAATAACAATAAAGAGACAGGAAAACACACTGATACAAACATGAAATAAGTTCTTCTGGCTTGCCAAAATCGGAAAAAGCGGCTATATGAACGTGAAGAAAGCTCTTCCTTTCTGTCCAAGACAAAACTATAGGTTTCGATAGAGGAGAGATGGAGAAGAGGCAGACACACACACAAATTAATGCTGAATTTTGAATTAGGACGAGACGTCACAGCGCTCAGGACAACCTCATCAGCGCCCTGTCTCCATTTTCAGCAGCAAGCGACGTTTAAAATCTGAAGGCACCGTTAACTATCTGACTGTATATCTATCTGGCCTCTCCCATGAGTGTTGAGCGCCGGCCAGATCCCTTTGGGACTCCACGCAGCGCCATTCTCCCCAGACCGTAATGATCTATCTGTGCCTCCATACTGTTCAGTCGCTCATAAAGATCCCTTGCAACATTTAGCGTGTCATTCACAAGTTCACCAGCAAGCGGTGCAGAACCAGCTAGTCTGTGTGCCCGCTCATTTCCTAACATACCAGCAAGACCTGGGAAAAATATACAAAGGATGCTAACTACCTGGGACTTCTGAAGTGATGCTTGCCACTCTGCACAAAGCATGCCTGTCTTTAACTTTCTCAACATGCTCTGTGAGTCAAGTTACATCACGTGATGTGTGTACAGTTGATTTTCAAGCCAGCGAAAGGCAGCAGTGTACTCCATTCTCAAACTTGACGTTCTGATATCATATGTCAGGCTTTGCTGCACCAAGCGACGTCCATTCATTTTTGATATCAACCACCATGCACGTCGTCTGCCTTTCAACACAGAGCAATCTGTACATATAATAACATCACTCGGGCTGGAATTGTCATGAATCGTTTGTTCAACTCCTAATTCTGCAGCACAAGCTGGCTAGTCCCTGCACCCACGACTCAAAGTGATAAGAACCCTATACAAGTCTGAAACATGATCGGACACTTTGATCCACTCCTCTCCTCGCTAAAATGTATTCAGCCTGCACACATGCCCAATTGTGTCTTCAGCTTGCGCTATCCAAGACCTTCCTCTTTTCAGTATGTGACCCTTAGCTCTACTAAGGGCTTCAAGCAGGAGGTGCGACTCTCACACATATGACTTTGCTTGCGGAACTTTGAGCCTATCTGCAATAGTAGGCAGTTCAAGTAAACATCTCATACATACTACCGGGTTATCTCTTATTTATCTCAGAATTACCCTTGTGGTTTCATTCTGTATGCGTTCAAGTTTCATCAATTGAATCTTTGAAATGGTAAGCATTCCAAGTCCATAATCTATTACTGACAGGATCACATGCTGGAACATTATGAACAGCATTCTTTGTTCTATGTCTATTGCTGCCATAATCTTGAGAGCATTGAGACCTTTTCTGGCATTTCACCGCAATTGCCTCCCCATGTTCTCCCAAGGACAGGCTTATATCGAAAATAATACCCAGGTACCTCAGTTTGCTTTATATTTTGATATTATAGTCAATCATTGTGAGGTTTGGAATATTAGCCCTTACAATTCTATTTGCACAGAGAGCACCACAAAACAGCCACTTTTTTTTTTTAAATTGATGCCAGCACACATTTCTGCACACCAGTCAATCATTTTGTCTACAGTTGCTTGTAGCTTTTAGGCTATTGGTTGCCTATCACTCCCATGGCTATATGCAAGAACATCATCAGCAAATGTTAATATCCTCCCAATATCTGATGCTTTAAGTTCTGCAATCTTGCCTGTATACACATTGAAGAGCACAGGTGAAATTGTAAAACCTTGGGGTAGTCCCGGGGCGATATTACGTGGTTCTTATGTGCAGTTGAAGGTCAACCATCTGCATTCTTTACTCTTCCGGTACTAAAAAACTGTCTCGACAATGTCCTGCCATTGGATCAAGATGGACACAGGCGACGAATTGTGCTAATCTTCCCTACCTAAATCTAAATCCTTGCGCAGGTCACTTCCATCCAACAAAACAACAACACTAAAAAGCACGCAATACTTATCTCAGAATACCATGGACCAAGAAGGAAAAACACCACCATCCTACGTGATCTTCTTCTTCTTCTTGTTCACCGGCTGTGAATTCCGGCAGTAAGTCGCGGTTGTTCGTCCAAATGGACTTTTGGCTTTTACCTTGACCTGAGTTTTGCGTGTACATCCGTTTTACTGTCTTATTTGTTTGCAGTCCTCGTTCCCTGCCTCACCGGCAGATGTACTCCGACTTCGAGGGAAGACGTCAAGCCTATTTCTAGGTTGACTGAGGGCCATTGTTTTTGTGTGGGTCGAGATGTTGCCTCATTTGGGGTGGTGTCTCTTTGACCTTTAACAGGTGTGGCCCCCGGAATATCCTCCTTAAGGCAGCCCTATGTACAA